AAGAAAGTGTGACTAATCCCAAACAAGAAATAGGAAAAAAGATTAATACAGAAGGAATACAGAAACTCTAAAAATCAGGGATAGAGAACACACACCGGTTCTAGGGGAAACAGAGCCTTCAATAGACCTTTAATCAAATACCACAAACTGGTTTTTTACCCTTCTTACAATGGAAACTGGATTAATCATGGCAGACCTCTGCCAATGATAGGCAAAAGACACACTCCCCGTGCTTTAAAGCGATGGAACAGCATGCTTAGCGGGTTATTTTTTCACTTAAAATCTGTCCATGTGGGAATACATGTTAACAGTGAGGACTATGGTATTTCTCATACCTGTTACCCTTACACCCCCATCCTCATCCTCCTACCTCCTAAAATCAAACCTTATCCTACTTCACAAGCAGACATATTGGAACTCAGAAAATGCTTTACTGTGGAATCTTAATCAATACTTTCTGAGAGAGATCATCATAGGTATCATAGGTGTTCCTTTCCTAGGGGGTACACCTAAATCACCTTGAACCTACAGGAATGCAGCTAAGGCTTGGAGGTATTCTAATTTCTTTCTAAATTACTGCAAGACACTGATACATGTGATGCAGCTGACAAAGGGAAGTTCTCCTTATACAACAATGTCAGCAAAAAACCTGCATTGATTGCGTCAATATCTAACACAACTGGAATAAATACAGAAACTCAAGAGCTGATATTGNAGCTAATTGAATGAGAAAACAGGACAGCCAGAAAACAAGAAGATTGGAAAAGTAATTATCCGCATTCTGCAATAAATAATCAATAAATTTGTTTCATAAAAAATTAAAGATAAATAAATTGACAAAGTTAAAAATATGTTGATCTGAAAACACACCAGGCATTGTGCTGAATCTGATTGGTTGTACAGCATAAGCTAGGGTTAATGAGGGCTTTCATTTAACTTTTTTCTTCCCTTCCCCTCCCCCCCTCCTTCCTCTACTGAAATAGACATAATGTATATTCAACTCATGAACTTAGTTAACTATAACAAGTAAAGTTGAAATTTATCTAACTATCTCTCTATGTACAATTCCAAAAGGTGACATTGTCCTTTTCTGATAAGATATGGGGCAAAGTTGTATTAATGGGACCTTAACTAGGCCTGAGCATGTTAGTCCTTTTTTCAAACCAGCTGTTAATGGTTAGTGCAAATAGCGTTTTTTTCGTTTGTTAAAAATTATAAAAAAAATACACATTGTAGTTTAGACTATGTTATGTATGACAATTAACAAAATTTTCTAGAATTGGTCTTTCCGTTTATTTTTAATTTCCTTGTATTAATTCAATGAGAATATTTTTTCAAAGCAATTTAGTTACATTGCGATGGGAACAGCATTAATATCACTATCAATCATGACCATAGACGTTCACATATCCGATGACTGTGCAAGATAGTGAAAATGCATCTGCTCCCATCACAATAAAATTTATTTTGTATTTGAACAACTATCTCCAGGGTGAACTATGCCCTGTCCTACTTAACCCATGTTGAGAGAGGAGAGAGGACAAGGATTAGTTTGATCTCAATTTAATCCTAGGATGGATAATAGGCTCCAGGGACCACAGATTCCTTCCCTTCATTCTACTCTTTCTTAATCTAAAAGCAGCAATTGTTTGTCTTAAATTTTCTTCTTCTTTCTTCTCAATTAATTAGTACCCACAGGAATCTTTTTTTTAGCCTTCAAATTTAGGATGCACAAGCAATTTCTACAAAACTCAAAAATGTCCATTACGCTATGTTTGATTGATTTGTTTGCCAGATCAAAATTGGCAAACTTAGCTCTGACTAGTTTTGTGTGATGTGGTCTGTCATATAAATCTAGCTTTCCTATGTTTTGTGCATAAACGATCAAAAATATTCTAAGTACGATTACACTGGACCGGACGATGGTACATACAAGAAAACATTTCAGTGGATGGCAAAGTTTTCTTACGAGATCCATATACAAGCCTCCATCTTTTATCCCTTAATCTCTCCATGTTTTCCATCTCCTGGCTCTCCCCCTCCTCCTCCCCCCTAGGGGAATAATAGAAGGTCCAGCCAAGGTAATCATTGTTTTACACCAGGGAATAGTCGGGAAACAACTACAACCATATATCAGAACTGAGACATACACAAAAACAAACAACAACAATAACAACAACAACAATAAACAAATAAAATGATCTAGATACAATGTTGTTTTTTTCGAATAGATGGACGACATCTAAGCCATCATATGTATATTTGATGAATTGTTAGTAAACAAATATTCTTACAAGTAGCTTGAAAATGAACTTATTAAAAGAAATGAGTCTGTGTACAGTGTACACACTGCATCTGGTTCATGTTCATTGGACTATATAAAATATATGACTATTTAAACCTGGAGCAAAAATGCGATATTTGGTAAAAATTGTCAAATCCATCTGGTTGGATGAAAACCAGTTCTCACCATACTCATACACAAACTGGATATAGAAGGGTGGGATTTTCTAATATGTTCAATCTTAAAGGAACACTTTTCCAATATGTTCAAACTTAAAGGAACACTTTTCCAATATGTTCAAACTTAAAGGAACACTTTTCCAATATGTTCAAACTTAAAAGAACACTTTTCCAATATGTTCAAACTTAAAGGAACACTTTTCCAATATGTTCAAACTTAAAGGAACACTTTTCCAATATATTCAAACTTTAAGGAACACTTTTCTAATATGTTCAATCTTAAAGGAACACTTTCTAATATGTTTAAACTTAAAGGAACACTTTTCCAATATATTCAAACTTTAAGGAACACTTTTCTAATATGTTTAATCTTAAAGGAACACTTTCTAATATTTTTAAACTTAAAGGAACACTTTCCCAATATGTTCAAACTTAAAGGAACACTTTCTAATATGTTTAAACTTAAAGGAACACTTTTCCAAATTCCAATATGCTCAAACTTTAAGGAACACTTTTCCAATATGTTCAAACTTAAAGGAACACTTTTCAAATATGTTCAAACCTGAAAGAATACTTTTCAAATATGTTTAAACTTAAAGAAACACTTTTCCAACATGTTCATACTTAAAGGAACACTTTTCAAATATGTTCAAACTGGAAAGAACACTTTTCAAATATGTTCAAACTTAAAGGAACACTTTTCAAATATGCTTAAACTTAAAGAAACACTTTTCCAACATGTTCATACTTAAAGGAACACTTTTCCAATATGTTCAAACTTGAAGGAACACTTTTTCAATAAATCTTAAAATGAAATTTCTCCAAGAAGCTTCAACAAATATTTTTAGACGTGAAATTCTAACTCTGCAAGTGTTGCCTTAAATTCTGGCAAATTTTAACCAGGAGTGTACATTTTCATAAGAAAACAAACATTTTTCTTCATCGCCCCTTTTGAAAATCTTTTTTCTTCAGAAGGTGTTCTTCGCTGATTTTAGGAAATAATGTGAATTTTTGTGTAAAAAATATCAAAAAGAATGAAAAAAGCTGCCTGTTGATATCCAACTTTAAATTTTTTCCGCAAACCATCAAAACCACCATCCCCCCTCCAGGGGGAGGGGGATAATTATGAAAAATATTCACCCCTGTCAAACATTTTTTGATTTATCTAAAAATCTACGAAAAGTTTGTTCAGTTAATTTGTTGGAAGAGATCTGTTGAGGTTTTACTGCTGACTCAACGGAAATCAAATTGAACAACTCTGCTAAACTAATTTCACGGCTACTACCTTTTCTACAGATAAGGTTTTTTTTGCAAATCTTATTTTGATTTTTAGTTAACTTGTAGTGTATGTCTTTAGCATAAATTTGTTTTAAGATTCTTAAAGAGAATGTAAGCATAATTTTAATAGACCATCCAATGAAGGTCTGCAATGCCCGATTTACAACGGTACCCTTAAAAACCTTAATACGATAAATTTCTCCATAGTTTCTTATATAAACAAGTCATTTTAATTTTAAATAAAAAGTTTAATTTAACGCAAACATTGACAGCCAATTCATTTGATCAGACAAAGCTTGTCAGGGTACCGTTGTTAATTGGACATTGTTATCTTGGCATGAATGGTGGCTTGAAATTGCGCTTTCTGTACAGTCCCCTTAAAAATACTCATTTGTCCAATTTCTGGATACTGAGTCCGAATTTAATGAATTTGAGCTACATCTTAAATCCCCCCAAAACCGGGTTTAATTGATTGCCGACTTAAATCTTGAAACATTGAATACAACTTTAAGTGGAACCAACCATATTTGAGCTGGGGCTCAAATTTAAGACGTGGCACAAATTCTTTAAATTCTGCCTCTGGATATTCAATTTAATTCGATAGCTTCTAAAAATACCCATTTTGTTTGACAGCACATATCTAAATTGACTATGAGAATTGGTTTTAAACTTATCTTATCGAAATCAAAATTCATCAAAATTATATATTAGTTAAATTGATTAATCAATATTTCAATCTTATTGATCAACTATATAGTTTAACTTGATCAATTACGCATTGATCATATAAAAGATTACAGTTTACCTGAAGCAGTATATTGATCAATTAACAGATTGATCAATTGTGTTTTGTCTTTTAAAAGATCGATTGATTGATTGATTGATTTGATTTGATTTCCTTATTTTGTTGAATGAAGCGTCCAAGGTGTGAAGTTTAAACCCCTCTCGTAACTGTAGAAGCAGAAAAACAATTGAAAAAAAATAATTAAACTTGGGAAGGATAATTAAAAATAATCAGAAACCAGGTTTTCAGACTTTTAAGATTCGTCATTTAGTTATTTCATTTGGTTGCTTCACAAAACGTTCGCATTCACTTTGGATTGAAGGATTCATAACTCTAATTGGATAATGAGATAGATAGAAAGATAGATGTTACCGCCATACTATTATAATGAGAAAAATAATAATAATAATAATAATAATCATAATTTCAATTTTTTACCTCTAAGATATTGTAATATTAATAACAATGATAATATTTAAAACTGTTCACCTAGGTTTTTAGGTATAAATGCGAAGTCGAACCAATGAAGCTGATTGGAGGACACGTTTAACCATCGGAGGCCGGCCTGGGCGGTTAGGAGGCCGTTTATATCTGGGATCTAAAAATTTTAAAGTTTAATAATTTATCATTTAGTTCTCTGCAGTTTGCTAAAATGCATAAAATCTAATGCAGTTTGCAATTATTATCATTAAGCTGCAAAATGCAACAATGTATTTTAATTAGATATTTCAAAGAATATATTTTTTTTGATCCAAAAGAAATTCTAAATTTTCTATTTTTTTTATCTCGTCAAGCTGAAGGTGTAAACGCTTGTTTTTTCAAAATTGGACTATTTTGCTCCAACAGAAATCATAGTTTGAAAAATTAAAGGGTTCAAGAGATCTGCTTGTTTTACCATTTTCAAAAGTTTAAAATTTGCAGTATTTGCAATTTTGCAATTTAAACGCAAAAACAAGAGATTGCACTTTTACTGGGACTTATGAAAAAACTTAAATACAAATATTTTTGAGAATAATTCTTTAAAATCGTGGCCCCTCAAAATCAACCTCAAGTCATATTAATTGTAGATTTTTAAGAAGAAAAAAACCGTCCTTGTTATTCTTAAACCTTGAGGTTTGGTGTGTAATCCTTGTATTTCTGAATCCATGAAAAGCAGGGTTAATCAAGTTAATGAACTAGGTTGAGAAAACTTAAACTTTTTTTGGTAAAAAAGTGAACGAAAGCATTTTGTTATTGAGTTAATGGGACTGTCGGCGATTGTTACCTTTTATACCTCTTTTTGAGTAACACTGTCAAAGATACCCTAAAACTTGTTTGATTTTGACATTTTCCTTCGTTGTCTATGCACCATCATAAATCCACAAGCCGATATTGAAGGGAAACCAAACTTGAAAGTATTTAATTTTCCCAGTGGGAATATTTTTCCTTGGTCAGATAAAGGTTTAACGGGAACCATTGTGATTTTGTCATTTCATAAAGAGGGTCATTTCAAATTACGTCGACATTCCCTTTAAGAAGATAGTTTAAAACAATCCCTTTCAGAAGATAGTTTAAAACAGTCCCTTTAAGAAGATAATTTAAAACAATCCCTTTAAGAAGATAGTTTAAAACAGTCCCTTTAAGAAGAAAGTTTAAAACAGTCCCTTTAAGAAGATAGTTTATAACAATGCACTTCGGGTTAAATTTTCTTCAAGCTTTAACTGCTTGATGCATACCTGGAAAACTTTGCAAACTTGAAATAAAATTTTTTCTAAGAATTTTATTTTGTATTGTACTTGCTTACTCTGTACTGTACTTTACTGTACTGGATTACTTTGTACTGTACTGCACTGTACTGTACTGGCTTACTCTGTACTGTAATGTACTGTTCTGGCTTACACTGTACTGGCTTACTCTGTACTATGTACTGTACTGTACTGGCTATTTCTGTACTCTTTACACTATATCGTTCAAATGTGCTATTTTATAAAATTGTATATATCACCTCTATAGAGAAAATTCTCGCAGAGAACAGTAATATTTAAATAGCATGTCGATTTTATTTAAAGTGACCCTCCAGATTTAAAGTGACATGCAAGATCACGACGATACCCTTTAAACCTTAATCTGATAGATAATGTGGCAGACTGATAAGTGATTAATTTTGACAATTTCGTCCATTCCTACTATAGCATAGATCTGCCAGTACTTTTACAGAAAAACCATGAATATTTTATTCATTCTTCAAACATAGGGGTAAAGTTGTGAATGCAACACGTTTACAGTCCCTTTATGCTTGTTTCTACTAAAACAGTCCCTTTATGCTAGTTTCTACGAAAACAGTCCCTTTTTAGTTGATTTTTAATAAAATCAGAATTTTCATTAAACCGTAAAGTTGTATATCAATGTATGTTTCACCTTTATTTAAAAATCAAAATTCAATAAGTACTTGCAAACTTAAATATTCTCTAATTTGCAAACTTAAATATTCTCTAATTTAAAGCTTGCAGATTTCCCGTAGTAAAATATAAAAGTGTAAGCTCACATCAGTTTGGTTATCTTTTTTATAAATGTTTAACGGTTTCAGTCCAAATATCTAATTATCTTTACATAAAAAACATTTAATTTAAACTTTATTTAATCATCTCCTTTCAGTGAGTGTAATACGAATTCACCTGATTTTTTACTAGCCACAGCGCTGACAATTTGCCTGATTTTTTACTAGCCACAGCGCTGACAATTTACCTGATTTTGATCTAGCCACAGCGCTGACAATTTACCTGATTTTGATCTAGCCACAGCGCTGACAATTTACCTGATTTTGATCTAGCCACAGTTTACCTGATTTTGATCTAGCCACAGCGCTGACAGTTTACCGGAGTTTGATCTAGCCACAGTGCTGACATTTTACCTGATTTTGATCTAGCCGTAGGGCTGACAGTTTACCAAGATGGACAAATGTATTCTGTTCTATCTCCTGCAAACATTTAAACTATTAAAATCATTTAACTATGTTGAATATCAAAATTAAATTGAAATATTTTTTGCAAGAAAAGTATTTAAATTAAATTTAAAATATATAAAGTCAGGGGGTGAAATGTTGAACTAAGTCAAGATTCGAATTGTGTACCCAGGGGTCAATATAATTCCAAAATTGATTATTTGTCCGATCCCAAGTTATTTTTTGTCCCAGAAAAAAAAAAAAAATTCGGTCCTTACACTTTCATTTTCCGTCCCAACAGTGTACCTGAATCTGATTATCACTGAGGTTAAGAATCTCCACCCCTGGAATTCTTGAGAAGAAAGCTTGGTTTAAAGATTTTAGCTGGTTCCTGGCTAGCCTAGATAGATCAACAATCAGAAAATATAAAATCAAATCAAATCTGAAATGTTGGGATAAACTATCAGTCAGCTATAGTCAATATCAATTAAAAAAAAACGATTTTCAAATCAATCTACCCCCTGGATGTTAGATGTTAGGTACTTTCCCAAAGGATTTTTCCCAACTGACAACTAACCAATGAAACTTCCACAAGTGGTAACTTCCCAAATGTGCAGTTTCCCAAGCTGCAACTTCCCAAGTCTGTCCTAGCCGCAGTGCTCGACCCGCATTGCAGCCTGTGGTGCCTCAGAGGGCCTAACCAAACCTTTGGGGAGTTGCCGCTTGGGAAATTGCACATTTGGGAAGTTGCCGCTTGGGAAATTGTCACTTGGGAAGTCGGTCTTGGGAAAACGCCTTTGGGAAAATACCTAACATCTAACATTTTCACTTGGGAAGTCGTCCTTGGAAAAAATGCCTTTGAAGAAGTACCTAACACCACTTATTATACAGAACTACATGTGATATGAAGAAAAAAACGTTTACAAGACGATTATTCCATAATGCATGAAATTGTTCCTTTAACTTTTTTAGCTTGTCACACCTGTCTCTGTGTAACATCTATGAAGTAGGAAGATACCGTCCTTGATTTCACAAAGTTTTTAAAGGGTTAACAAGAGCTTTAGGTTCTATGAGGCATTTATGGATCCAAAATGATCCAGGAATAGATGTAAAACTTGATTTGCTGTAGTTTGTTTATGTTCCTGTCAGTAAGAATTTCTAATTTTGTTGAAAACAATGGTTGAGAATATTCTGCTTTAACAATTTCATCTCCTAGATTGTATTGTATTGTATAGATGAAGAATAATCTTCAAAACATTTCAAAGTTCAACCTTGAATCAGAAACAACTGGGAAAACAAGGTGGAATAAAATATTCATTTTATTTTGCAATATATTTCATTCTTTTGAATTTCAAATTCTTTTATTTTGAAAATCTATTTTGTATAATTTACAATCCAATTTTAGAATGAAACACAAACTGTATTTTTAAAATGGTTCGGTAAAAATTGTACGATGAAATTTTGGCAGAAGCTTCAGTTTGGTTAGGCAAATTAATTTCATTTTCATTTTGGTGGTAAATTTTGGTAAATTTATTTCTCTTCAACTTTAGCAGGAACATTTGGGTTAGGAGGGGTAAATTGACAACCCTCTCATTTTGGCGGGAATTTTTGGTTTGGTTTGGTAAATTGTGTACATTGCTGGCTGGAATGGTTAGAGCTGGATTATGGTAAGAGTGTAACTCAATTAGATTTCTCCAGTGTGCCATGAAATCCAATAAGCCTTGTTTCCCTTCCTAGTTCCCTCAGTACAAAATAATTCTACACACAAACTCAAAACTTTCCAAGTTTACCAAAAACAAACTTTGGAACTTCAGACAAAGGCGAGGATTTTTTTGAGCCTTTAAAATTTACATTTATGTGGAGCATTAATTGGTAACTGTAAAGATTTTTAGTTTTTTTCATTTGATGATATGAAGCAGGCAGAATATAGAGCAGTACTGGAAATCCTGAGTCTGTAGAGGGGTGCAAGTACAAATTATTAGCTCTGAGGAAAAATAATTTTACATTTGAAAACAGAGTCTATGGAGGAACGTGAGTACAAATTATAAACTCTGAGTTTATATCATGTTATATTTGATACTTGAATTGAATAATGCAAGTACAAATCATTGAGCTCTGAGTAGAAATAATGTTATTTTTATATACCTGAGCCCATAGAGGGATGAAAGTACTGGCTCTGTCCCTGTGTTTAGATCCTTGATCAAGTTCTCTCCTAGATCCAGGTTTCGGAGAAGTGGAAGAGAAGAGACCTGCTCTGGGAAGTGGGTCAGCTTGTTCTGGCTCAGGTTCAAGTCCTGATTGTGTTGAATCTCTAGCTTTAGTTTAAAAAGTATTAACCCTATAAAGGCAGGGTACAAGGTTGAAATGCATGTTCATAGCCCAATTTTGAACGGCCAGCTCATTGAATAAAAATTAGACCGATAACATAAATAGTTTGAGTGCTACTAAGGGTTGAAAAAAATGCCAAAAAATGTTCAAAAAATGTTTTTTTTTATTTTAAACAAATATCAATATGTACAACATGTTTCTACATCCATTTTTAAAGGTCTTTAAAAAAATATAGTTTATAGATCTGTAGCTTTAGTCACAGAAAAGTTATGGGCTATTTTTTTTTTTTTTATTAACCAAGACTTGACTTATTATCGCCTTATACCCTATCCCATGCATTAAAAAAAATATTTTTTTACAAAAAATCCTTTCACAATAAAAATGTCAAAAATTGGTGTGCTAGGACAAAAAACTAAAGGGGGGCCCTGCCTGTTTAGGGTTTAAGGCTTGTTTAAAAAAAATATGCTGAAAAGTTAAAACTCCAAATAAATAAAAGGTTACATGAATTTGTTAAGTTGAACATATTTTAGGAGCAAACTTCCTCTAAAATTCACAAAGAGTTTAAAAATAAAAATTAATTGAAAAAAACTTGAATCTCAAGTATAAAAAATTCTTTCATGGGGTATGAAAACTTTTTTGCAATGTACAAAATGCATAGCAAAATTAATTCCAAAACTAATTATGGAAATTTTTTTTAACTGGTCCATTAATATTGTATTCAGAATTAAGTTTACTGAAAAATCTAAAATCTACAGAAAAATATCATAATCTTTTTTACATTTCTGTATCAGTCTGTAGACTGTATCGGATTGTACTGGAAAAATATTTTTCATAACCTTTAAACTGAACTTGCTTTAAATATTTTTTATTGTTCTATGAATTTCCAGCTTCTTTCATCATGTAAAGTAATCCGTCTTAAAAATTGAAAACTTTTTTCATGTCAGGGAAAAGTTGAAAACTCCTTCTTCTCTAATCTCTTGTAAAGTCAGCAATTCTTTATAACATCACCCCTACTCCCATCTCCTCCTTCAGATTGAAAGTATTTATATCACATAATCTCCTACCCCCCCTTGACTCTTTCAACAATTCGAATAATATACACCCCTCCGGGGCCTCTCCTCCCCTCACAACCATTTGAGCACTATACAAACACCCCTTTCTTCCCCTCTAAACCATTCAAACAATTTACAAACCTCCCCTCCCATCTCTCTCCTTGGTAATCTCTCTCTTTGGTACAATATACTCTCTATTGTATGTCAAGTGTTGCTAGATCAGGAGGTTTCCTTTTTATCTCTCTTGGGGATAAGTTTCTTCAAGATAAAAACCGGAATAGAATTTTCTAGTTTCCTCTCCGGTAAAAACCTATGAGGTTTTCAACAGAAGACTCCTTAGAATTTCAAAGCTGGTTCAACACAAAGATTACCCTTTCTAAATATGGCATTATTTTTTTTATTCCGAAGAACTCTTATAAAATAACATAACTAATGTAAATGTAAATTATAAAAACCTGTTTGTTATAAACTTTTATTATAAATTACTGGAATATACTAGTTTATATTTTTTAAAGCTTTTTAAATTATAGTTTAGCTTCATGAAATTTTCATTAGTTATCAATCCAGCCTTGCAATATCTCTCAGAAATTTTTTATTTTAATAGACCATCCAATGAAGGTCTGCAATGCCCGATTTACAACGGTACCCTTAAAAACCTTAATGCGATAAATTTCTCCATAGTTTCTTATATAAACAAGTCATTTTAATTTTAAATAAAAAGTTTAATTTAACGCAAACATTGACAGCCAATTCATTTGATCAGACAAAGCTTGTCAGGGTACCGTTGTTAATTGGACATTGTTATCTTGGCATGAATGGTGGCTTGAAATTGCGCTTTCTGTACAGTCCCCTTAAAAATACTCATTTGTCCAATTTCTGGATACTGAGTCCGAATTTAATGAATTTGAGCTACATCTTAAATCCCCCCAAAACCGGGTTTAATTGATTGCCGACTTAAATCTTGAAACATTGAATACAACTTTAAGTGGAACCAACCATATTTGAGCTGGGGCTCAAATTTAAGACGTGGCACAAATTCTTTAAATTCTGCCTCTGGATATTCAATTTAATTCGATAGCTTCTAAAAATACCCATTTTGTTTGACAGCACATATCTAAATTGACTATGAGAATTGGTTTTAAACTTATCTTATCGAAATCAAAATTCATCAAAATTATATATTAGTTAAATTGATTAATCAATATTTCAATCTTATTGATCAACTATATAGTTTAACTTGATCAATTACGCATTGATCATATAAAAGATTACAGTTTACCTGAAGCAGTATATTGATCAATTAACAGATTGATCAATTGTGTTTTGTCTTTTAAAAGATCGATTGATTGATTGATTGATTTGATTTGATTTCCTTATTTTGTTGAATGAAGCGTCCAAGGTGTGAAGTTTAAACCCCTCTCGTAACTGTAGAAGCAGAAAAACAATTGAAAAAAAATAATTAAACTTGGGAAGGATAATTAAAAATAATCAGAAACCAGGTTTTCAGACTTTTAAGATTCGTCATTTAGTTATTTCATTTGGTTGCTTCACAAAACGTTCGCATTCACTTTGGATTGAAGGATTCATAACTCTAATTGGATAATGAGATAGATAGAAAGATAGATGTTACCGCCATACTATTTCTATTGGTTCAGAATAGACGACAAACACATGACTGAACCCTGATTGGATCAGGCGATAATGGACTCGGCATACAGGAGTGAGCTCGAGCAAGTTGTACAGTGTACAGTACAATTACAGACTATGTAAGGCAATTCGAGACTGTACACCAATAAAATTTATGCGCAAATCTCATTTTTCTGAAAAGCTATTGGTTATACAAATTCTCAAGGTTGCAAAGTCAATAAATCTAATCTTCTACCTTATGGAGTGTCTCAAAACTCAGTTTTGTTAATTTTCAATGTGTTTAAGGTGCCGGCTCTGTTCTCTTTTATTTGAATGAAATGAAAGTTTATGGACTTCAATAAAATTCGAACATTAATGCTAAATTAAAACAGGAGAAAGGGAATCTATTCCTCGAAAATAAATTGTTTAAATTAAGATTTTGAAATGTTAAAAAAGATCCTACAATATTGTTTAAGCAAGGGCTCATTGCTTCCAGAATAAGGACAACAAATAGTAGTAATTTCGATACAAAATGACCTCAAAGGGACTGCTAACATATTCACCAGTGAACCTCCGTTTCTAAAGTGTCATGTCTCATTCTTAACTGAATCCTTTAAACCTTGGTTTGGTCAGAGATAATTTTACAATTTACAATTGTGGTTTATATATTTAAATAACTCATATACTGGAGAAACAATGAAGACATTTTCAGAATTGAACACTTTTCAATTCGACAATTTAAATTTTTTTCATGTTTTTTTTTCCTGATAGTAATTCCCAATCTCCTCCACACTATTTCCATGAATATCCAACCATTCTAAGAATAAAGAAAGGTAAAAAAGAGAATTTGGAAAAAAGTAGTTTAAAAAAAACTGTAGAATTGGTAGAAAAGTAAGTAGAAAATCAGATAAAATCTGTGTACAGAAGAAAGGGGAGGGGGGTTCGTTATTAAACATAGAAAATGCCAGAGAGTAGTGGAGGATTTAGTAGATATCCTCTATAGTAGATGCCAGAAATTAAAATTCTATTTTCCGTAACAAGTTTAATTTTTCAAGGATACATATTTCAAATTTCAGCTTCACATTTAGATATTCTATAAAAATGTAAATATAATTACAAAACATCTTAAAGAAAAAGTTAGTACCAACTTGTCAAAGATAACAAATTCAAATTACATTTACACATATCATAAANAAATTAATCATATAAGAGGATTTAACCCCCCTATTCAGTTTAGAAATACAGCCTAAGCTTCTGAACTTTAAAGATTTGGTGACATTTAATCAAAATTCAGAAAATTCAATTTCACATAATGTCGTTTGAAATAAATATAATAGTTGCCGGAAATATAGAATAGTTGCCGGAAATATAGAATAGTTGCCGGAAATATAGAAAAGTTGCCGGATATGAATAGAATAGTTGCCGGAAATATAGAATAGTTGCTGGAAATATAGAATAAATGCCGGAAATATAGAATAGTTGCCGGAAATAAACAGAATAGCTGCTGGAAATATAGAATAAATGCCGGAAATATAGAATAGCTGCCGGAAATATAGAATAGTTGCTGAAAATATAGAATAAATGCCGGAAATATAGAATAGTTGCCAGAAATATAGAATAGTTGCCGGGAATATAGAATAGTTTCCGGAAATATAGAAAAGTTGCCGGAAATATAGAATAGTTGCCGGAAATATAGAATAGTTGCCGGAAATATAGAATAGTTTCCGGAAATATAGAATAGTTGCCAGAAATATAGAATAGTTGCCGGAAATATAGAATAGTTTCCGGAAATATAGAATAGTTGCCGGAAATATAGAATAGTTGCAGATAATATGGAATAGTTTCCGGAAATACAAAAAAGTTGCCGGAAATATAGAATAGTTGCCGGAAATATAGAATAGTTGCCGGAAGTATAGAATAGTTGCCGGAAATATAGAATAGTTGCCGGAAATATATAATAGTACGTTGTCGGAAATACAGAATAGTTGCCGGAAATATAGAATAATTGCCGGAAATATGGAATAGTTGCCGGAAATATATATTAGTACGTTGTCGGAAATACAGAACAGTTGCCGGAAATATAGAATAGTTGCCGGAAATATAGAATAATTGCCGGAAATATGGAATAGTTGCCGGAAATATATAATAGTACGTAGTCGGAAATACAGAATAGTTGCCGGAAATATAGAATAGTTTCCGGAAATATAGAATAATTGCCGGAAATATGGAATAGTTGCCGGAAATATATAATAGTACGTTGTCGGAAATACAGAATAGTTGCCGATTATATAGAATAGTTGCCGGAATTTTGTGACGAAAAGATGTAATTTCAATTAACCATGGAGAGCAAATCTGTTTTTCTATCTTTAAACCTAGTTAATTCTGTCAATTTTCTTTTTTTTTGTCTCTGCTGTATAGATCCGCATTTTTGATCATACGAAGGTTTACATGGTACCAATGTGAATCGGACATGCCCCTCTTTATAATATAGAGATTCACTGGAATTACTGTGAAAGTCCTTTAAAATAATTGTCGGATAAAAAAGACAGAAATAAAAGTTAAAAAGAAATCAAAATGGCAGCAAGGAAAACAAAATGGCGGTTTGTCTGAAGTTGACAGTTTCTTGAAACAGAAACTGTTATTGTTGAAACTGCAAAATTTGACCGAGACAAATTTGATTGAATCATGGAAAGAGACAGCTAGCAAACAAGGTTTTACAAAGAAAGGNTTTCATTACTTAATATTTTTGACACCTTCCCTTGCAAAAAAGGATTTAAACAGTTTTTTTAGCAGAAATAAAAGAAGTTTTTTTTTTTTGAAAGTTTTCCTGAGATATCTGAGAGCGTCCATTTTTGCTTGATTTCATTCTAATAAAAGTTTGGCAAAACTTCGCAGATACTTAGAAAAATTGCAAACTTTATATCAGATTATATTTGTTTCTTTGGATCTCAAAGGGGAGAATAATTCAACCTCCCCCCCCTTTCTCTAAAGGCGAGATATTCAATCCCCTTTTCTCTAGATTTGAATCTTGAATATATGAAATAAAAAGACAAAATTATATTTGCAGGGGTTAATATTAATACTAATTTGAGAACCCAGCGTTGCCCAGGTAAAACTACCGTTTACCCGCACTTGGTTGTAAATAAAAATTAAGACAAATCAGTCAAGGGGTTCATGAGTTATTAGCGGACATACAATCAAACAGAGATGCTACTATATATAGAGAACGATGTTAGCTATTTTTCCCGATAAAAGTCGACCCACTCAACTTAGAATCTCAAAACCAAGCTAAGAACATTCCCGTGATTCTCCCGAGTTCCGCACTCAAAATTTGAGGCTAATTTGTCAAGGGTTTCATGAATTATTATCGCCGTTTACCCGCACTTGGTGGTAAATTAGGAGTTTAGCTATTTTTCCCGATAAAAGACCTTGACCCACGCAACTTAAAATCTCAAAACCAAGCTAAGAACATTCCCGTGGTTTTCCCGAGTTCCCAAATCTAAATTTGAGGCAAATCGGTGGAGATGTATGATAAGAAAAACAAACAGACAAATAGAGATTTCAACTTATAAATGGATACTTTGAAAAATTAATTAATCAAAGCATTATGGTTTTTAATATTGAAAAAAAGAATATTTTGTTCCTCTTGATTTTTTTAATAAGGTATTTATTCTATGTACACTTTGAACTGTGAAGAAACTGTACACTGCAGTTTGTATTATCTGAAACTGTACTGTACATGTTATATGTACTCTATGAACTCTAAAGCTAGTGTTTGCCTGTATGCTTGATGTGTTTAGGAACAAGTTATCTGGAAGCTCCTGGGAAAAAATATATTTTATTCAATTTTGAGGGAATTCATCACACCTAATATATTTCCCGTTGTAGGGTGATTAAGTGACTTTATCGCCCTACAACAGGGCGAAAAAGTAACTTTTTCACCCTGCTATTACGTTCGTTGTTTAAATATTTTTATTTTTATTAAACAAACTAGAAAAAATTTAAATTCCAGCAAAATCTTTTTCGCACTTAATAATACCCATTACAATAACATAGTTGATTTAAATATTTTGAACATCCTTCTTGTTTAAAAAAGTATTAAGTCAGACATCTTAAAAGAAAATTGAAATTGCATATATCTCCCTACAACTTAATTTTTTGAACTTATTTACTTTAGATTTTACAACTTACAATTTACTAGTCAATTCAAACGATTAACACTTGAAATAGCTGGGAGATTTTTACAAAAATTAGCCACCCACTCAAACAAGTGTATATGTTTATATTTAAATGATAGAAATTAATAACCAAAATTATGAATTATTATCTAACGCAAGGTTATAATGCAAGGAAAGTTATTTCAGAGGTGTACGCATCTTTTGTAGTGCAGTGTACTGTCTCTGTGCGGTAATGTAAACACAAGATGGATGTCGAAGCCGGACATGGGATCCATCTTTCTCATAAATAATCAATGAAATATTCTGGTCATAGGAAACTATTATGTGAATTATCAAAATTATCAAAATTTAAGCTTTTAACCTCCTCAGATACTAAACGAACACTGATGCATCTATTCTTGTTTACAAATTCCGCCCAGAGAGAACTGGTTTCAATATGTACACAACTTCAATTAACTTTCCTTGCATTATAACCTTGATCTGACGTACATTCTTGATATTTAGAATATTTTCAAATTAAGTGTGGAATTAAGATTATTTGATATTTTAATGAAATTGAAAAATATTTAACTATGGATTACAGGGTTTAGTAAAACTTTGTTCAAAAATAGAAAGAGGGACCAGACAAACTAGGAAAGGGAGAAATTTGTTCAAGGATTTTCTTTCAAAGGAATTGAGTCTTTGTCACAAACTCTTAATTTAAAATCCCTATTTCTTTGGAACCCAATGTCGTAAATCTTTGATATTTCAAACTTATATTATTTGATCTAACAGAATTCATAGTTTGAAATATTTAAGGTCTACAACATTAGAATCCAAAGATATAAGGTTTAGAAAAGCAGAGTTTGTGGCAAAGACTCAATTCCTTTATTTGCGGTTTTTACCAAGATTTTAAGGGACAAGATTTAAATCAATCAGGCTGCCTTTCCCTTATATTTGCGCAACTAATTGATTCGATCAAAAATATTGATGCATTGATTGATCGATTGATTATCAATTGACTGATTGATTGATTGATTTGTTCTTTGTTGATTGATAAAAAATATATTCCTTAAGTTTATTTTGATCTAGAGAAATGGAACTGAGGACAGGCAAACCAGCCAGAGAGTTGGAGGATAAAGCCTCCAATTGGTTGGAGGACAACAGGAGGATATGGAGGTTAGGAACTCGGAGGGAGCCATCAGCAAGTACTTTCAACCTAAACAAATGTGGTCAAACGCAGCCAAACAAAGTCCAACAAAGTCCAACAAAGTCAAACAAAGTCAAACAAAGTCAAAAAAAAAGTCTAACAAAGTCAAACAAAGTCAAACAAAGTCAAAATGCTTTCGTCTTAACAAAGTTCATAAGCTATCCCCCTGTAGAGAGGGGGGGGGGGGGGTAATCATTGTCCCCTGTACTTAACGCCCCAGCTGAATAAAGCCCCTGGCATCCATTTCATTGATATGAATCCATTTTATCAAGTTTCCCCGAGATTCCAAATATTGGAATAAAATTAGGAAAACTGGAGAAATCTAATATTTGATAATGTTGATAGAATTCTTTCAGAAGAACACAACAGTTCAGCACAGATGAGATTTTAAAAGCTTAAACCCGAGTAAAACCCGGTCTTTGCGTCTGCTTAGACCCAAGTAAAGCTCAAGTCAAGACCGGGTTTTTAATGGCCTTGAGTTTCGCTAAAACCAACCATCTTGGGTTTTTCTCTCTTTAAGGCTCGAGTCTTCAGCAGCTGATGATTGTAAATTTCGTAAAAACTTTATATTTGTACATTTAAAATCTCGGGAATTATTTGTGGTGTCAAATTTGATCAAATATATAAAATAAACATACTATGAAAATAATATATCTCCATAAAGTTTGAATTTTCGAAATTTACATCTCATTGTCACAGCTGATCTGACGGTATTCTGTCTGCTACAGAGAGAAAGCTTGCTAAACAGTCTCGCATTGGTTGAATCAGAACCAATCCTGACTTGGGTTCTATCTAAGCCCGAGTTTGGGTTTTACTCGGGTTTAAGCTTTTAAAATCTCGTCTCAGGAATACACTAGATACACTTTAAACAGCTCATTCATTCATGGATTGGCATGTCCGATTAACACCCCTTATTGCTTTAAAATTGCCTCATTTCCTTTATGGCCTCTGCACCATAATTACACAATTCACTTACACAAAGGAAAAAAATGATTAATTGATTGATAAAACGGTAAATAGTTCAAGGAGGAAACATAAAAAAGGTACAAGAAAGTGAAAGAGTTTAAGTCTTAGTGACAAATTCTGATTTTTTAATCCCTATATCTTTGAAACCCAATGTCGTAGACCTTAGATATTTCAAACAAGGAATTCTGTTAGATCAAATAATTTTAGTTTGAAATAGCAAAGATGTACATCATCAAGTTGCAAAGATGTAAGGGTTTATAAAGGTTGAGTTTGTGGCAATTAGACTCAATTCCTTTGTGTGGCTTTAAGCTGTTGCTCTAGCTCCAAGATTGGCTTTCTAGACTCTTTAACTTTAACTTTTTTATGATGAAAAAAGTGTTTAAGATACCGTCGTTTTTCTGACTCAAAAAGTGTTTAATTCTGATTATTTCTCCATCGCTTTGTTAAGCTAGAAATGCGCAAGTCATTTTCCCAAAAAACGCAAAAGAAACAAAACTTGAAATTGCGATTATACAATCCCTTTAAATCCTTTCATTTAAAAGTTTTCACTGTAAATATCGAGTTTACCCGCGCTATTCAACTCAAAAGTTTTGGCCTTAGAAAAATGTAGGTAATTATATCAATAAAATAAAGACGACTTTTTATTTAAGTTTTTTTTTAATTACAAGTTTACAAGTAATCTAACAGAAGCTGACAGCTTCTCCTGACTTTTATTTGATGTCTATCCATGCTGGTTAAGAGCTTGATAAAAACCAAAATCTAAATAAAAAGTCGTCTTCATTGTATTGATATAATCACATACCACTGTAAGAAAATCATGAAAGAATGGAATAAAAGAAATGATATTCTCGAAGAAGTTAGGTTTTCTGGCCTAGAGGGGTTCAGTGCTTCAACACTTTAAAGATTAGCATAAAACCATTGAAAGAACGGACTCCTAGTCCTTAACAATTCTTTATTCAAGGAAAACAGCTGATGTTTAAAAGGAGTGTTCGTGAAAACTGAAAGCTGGTATAGTATAATTTTTCAAATTGATTTTGCAAACCAATGTCACAGACAAGCTATTAATTCTGTTAGATAAAATAATCTAAGTTTAAAATATCAAACATTTAACCCACCAGAGTCCGAATTTAATGAGTTTGAGCCACGTCCGCCCAAAACCGGTTTAAATTAAGCGCCTGCTTGAATCTTGAAACATTGAATACAATCTTAAGTGGAACCAACTACAGAGCGTCCCATATCATATTAGATTATCAAAAATTTTTAACGCAAAAAATCTAGCATTTTCTGCCAACAAAATTTTCTATAAGCCTTAATAAATTTTTTAAAATGATTCATTCTTCTTAAATTTTCTGATTTGTCCCCCAAATCGTAATTTAGACCATTGACGCGGTCTAGTTTGATGTGGGACACCCTGTATATTTGAGCCGTGTCTCAAATTTAAGCCGCCGCTCAAATACTTTAAATTCGGCCTCAGAGCTGAAAACTTTATGGGATCTCCTTAATTCCTATTGATTAAACTGAGTATCCAATGTACACACTTTTGATTTTTTCTTAATAATCTTTTTTTGTTTACCCCTACTGTATAAAAGATATGTTTGATAACAATTACAGATATAATGCTATATTGATTGGACTAATATCCGATTGAACGAAAGTCAGCTGTTCACAAGCCGGCTTTTAGAGCATTTAAACAAATATAAATTTAATCATGTTAATATGAACCTATTAAAAATACATATTTTATAACATTTGCGGACTTAAGCTATTTGGAACGTTAGTCTTAAACAACATAAATCCAAAACTTACGTTCGTTCAATCGATCGTTAGTTCAATTGATATGACACCTTCAACACCAGCAATTCGCAAAATTAAAAACAAAGCTTTTAAGGGTACTATTGTGAATATGACATTGCCATTTTTGCTAAAATTATGCTTATAGTCCCTTTAAACAGGCAACCAAAAGGAGTTCACTGATAAATGAATGCAACACATTTTGACAACTTTTTAAAGATATTTTTGGAAGCTAAAAAAATACATTTTTTTTAAACACATGAAAGTTTTAACTTCAAAAGTTGAACCAATATTTTTGGAAAAGTTTTTATTAAAATCTTAAGTTAGAAATTGCATGACTTGAGAAATAT